CTACAGACGACTCTCTTGACCTGTGTTCCTGGTGTGATTGAAATCTTGACAATCTTCACTGTGTTCGTCTTGCTGCACGACGGCCCAATTCCAGAGCATATGTCGGTGCCATCTACTTCGTCCCGGCATGGATAGGCATCTTGTTGGTTAACCTACTTCCTTGGTCGGATCAGGTATGTGCTTTTGCGAGTTTAGCGAGTTGTCTGTAATATCACACCACACGATATTAGACTGGACTTCTTATCGGCCAATTCCTGTGTGCGTGTGATGCTCATAATGTGTTTGTATGCTCATCGCTCCGTAGCTGGTGTCAGTGTGCCTGGATTTGTACTGTCGTTATCGTGGCTCAATAGCGTGACTGCTGGCCATACGAAGAGGGTAGGTACTCCGCCATTTATTGAACTCTTTCCTTGTTAACCGCAACCTGCAGGTTGCTACTAATGCCATCATGCTCTCGGCTTACTGCATTGGTAATGCAGCTGGCCCCTTCATGTGGAAGGCACAATACAAGCCGCGGTAGGTCATTCTTCGACTGACTTTAGGAAGCAAGATTCGAAGTAATCATGATTCATGTGCAGTAACCATATCCCATGGGCTGTCATCGGCGCATGCTACGTCGTCTGTCCGATCATTCTCCTTGTCATCCGTGCTGTCCTCGTCCGAGAGAACCGGATCCGCGATACAGAGCCTTCCGACGTTGAAGAAGAATACGTTATCGAGCGAATCACTGAGGATGGCAAGCGTGTGGAAGTTAAGGTCGATAAGGTGCGTTCTCCAAATCGATTTTTCATTTTCGGGTACAGGGCTAATATTCTGCCTGCATAGGAATTCCTGGATTTGACGGATAGGCAGAATAGGGACTTCAGATATGTTTTGTAAGATTAAGCACGCCTGATCATTACGTATTGCCAAATGGCAATGCCAATCAGCAATCATCTCGTGTTCATCGATGACCTTTGATGGCGCGACCTAGGTGGTATCATGAGACCGCGCGGTTACGTATTGATGTATTATTATAGGAGACTCCACACTCCATCCACTTTCACGACCTGCGGGGAAGTCCGAGTCAAGATTAATTCAGGCAGTTATCTCCCTGTCCGGAGCAAAAATGCTCCACGCCCCAAGACTCAAGTCTACTTCGGAATTTTTTGAGCTGCCAAGTACGGAGCTCAGGGCTGCAGACCGCACAAACGATCTAGCGTGCATCATGTTATCGACTGGTGTAATTCAAATACAGGGAGAGCGCGGGTCACCGCAATGATGACCATCTGGGACAGCAAGGAGATCTTCATGGGTCGACTGGCCCGCGGGGTGGGCATCCGAGAATCGATGTGACGGCCTTATACAGGTCGCAGGTTGTGGGGTCGGCTTGTAACGCAGGATCCGAACGTGTTGCAACTTGTAACACATCGTTGAATTTAGTATGTGTCGACTATAGTAGACCCGGGATAGCATACATAGTACATACGATAAATATACTACTATAGTACTACAATCGAGCACAGGCTAATCAAGTCAGCCAATCGATGACGTGGAGTACTCGCACGATGGGGTGCACGAAACTCTTCAAGTTAGGTCACGGACTGCTGCCAAGACTATTAGTACTAGCGCCTACTGCTTCGACCGTTTTGGAATTGGTTGAGGATGGTGCCAGGATGCCTCAACATGGACCATCGAAGATAAATATTGTATTTGCTCTCAGTCTCGTTCTTCCGCTCGCCATTTCTTTCTTGAATCCTACCTGGAGGTTTACTCAATTTACACCTCGACAACTCATCTACGGGAAAGACCTTCTGCCATTCATTACTGCATTTTGGGCCTTGCCAACGCATACACTTGGTCAACTTTCGCGCCTTCTTCAAGCCGCCATAGTAGCATGCTTCCCGCAGGTATTGGCGGTTCATATTTTCGCCTTTTGGTTCATCATTCCTTTCGCGAGAACGCTTTCCGGCTTTCTGCTTTCTCGTAGCGTAGGATGGGCCTACCCCCGACTATTCAACCACTGGGCGTTGTACGAGCCATCAAGTGGCATCGGTCCTGCACTCGCAGCATACCTCATAATGTATGGTGCTGGTCATGGACAATCCTCGAATTCAGAAGTCTCGCAACGATACTATGGAATCCTTGGTGATAATATGCACGGGTTTGACCCTGCTGGCTTGACAGTGCGCCGTGGACATATGCCATGGCCTCCGTAGCCTCCGTAGTGCTATGGCCTGTTCAGGTCACGAATAAATCATATCTGCGATACCATCCCTACCACCCTATGGCGCTGGACGTGCGACGGTTGCGCATAGTCATGCAGACTGCGATACTCTTCTTGCTCCTCATACCCTTACATGTCATTCTTACCACCATGCTCCCGAGCAAGATAGTATTACGTATGCCCACTTCTCCTCATGGAACACAGCCCTTTTTGGAGATTCTCATTCTCTCCTATCCCCGTCCGGGTGATGCAGCTTCGTCCGACTCACTGCTGTCGCAAACAATCTCCTCATACCTCCCTTATGCCGAATCAAACACGGTGCTCTCTGTGTTCACGCATGCCACTACACACGTGTCATTCACTCACGCGAAGGAGCATTATGCTCAAGCGCCCATTACATTCTATACAGACACGGACATGCATGCGGACTCATATTCAAATCAGCATTTACATGTCGCAGAAGCTTTCCGGTGGGCTTCTGAAAAGGGTCCATCTCAAGCAGAATGGGTCATGCTTGTGGAAGATGATTTTCCGGTATGCGGTGAGTGGGGATGGCGAGGCATCCTTGGCGTGATGAACGAACTCCAGCGTGATGGAAAATATGGAGGATTTGTTGGAACCGGTGGCAGGTTTGTGTTCGCATACTCAAACGAACGTCCTGTGTACTGACGGTCCTCGTGTTTTTAGTGGTTTAATCATTCACCGTACCCTGTTGCCCATCCTCACGTACATATTGCGTGCACATGCTCTGCAGCACTCCCCCCTCCCGCCCTCTGTGGGACATCGGCCTGCAGACCTCATCATACAAGACTGCCTTTTTGGAGCGGACCTGTTATGTCCGCACAACACCAAGGAACCCACACTTGTCATTTCGTCTCGTCTCGTCATGGATCATATAGGCGGGAGTGCCAGCACCATGAAAGGTCGCATGTACGCTGCTGAAAAGTGGAGATGCGGTTGGAGGCATCCGTTTCATGGTTTCATGGAGGTGGATGTTGTACCGGTTTGATATGGCGCTATCTATTATCTAATGTCATGATGGAATGTTGATAATTGTATAGATCTGAATATTTCGCTTTAATTTCATTGATACAGCAACGTGATGATGGTGCCCGAACCATAATAATAAGTTCTGGACATAAACGTTGAACAAGCCATGAGGCCTGAGGCGTTTAAGAAAAAGGACCGGAGAAGCGATGTAGCAGCCAAGTCGAAGCATAGTGATAGGCAGCTCAAAACACAACGCGGGTTAGTCTAAGGGGAGAATGGGCGGTAGGACAATGATCCCAAAATTGGTGCGTCCTGCCCCAGAGTATGCTATCTTTTTGGCGTCAGAAACAAGGTTCCCAGCTGGCGGTTCATGACTACTCGCCTTGTTGTGAGCAGAAGCACGCTCAAGTAGCTTCCGATAGTCCACAGCAATGAAGTGCGTAGAATTTATCTTCTTCGGGAATTGAGTTTTGGGGTGAGCAGGTAATTGAAGCACGTAAAATCTACACTGCATTATATTGAATCACACAGAACTTTACGCCAGGTCTGCCTTGAACAAGCACTCTTGGCGCGTCTCATGAAAGATTAGAACAGCCTTCTGATGCGGTTACATACGCGCGGCAATCCGCGATTAGTTCCTCAACTCACTGCAGAAAGGTCTTCCGTTTTTAATGCAAGCTTCCTGGGGTCGGGACATTCAATTGCGTTCATCCCGCGGCGGGGACATCTTCAATACCTGCTTCCCCCCCTCTATTTTTCGTGTACAGAGAGGCGCATCGAGGATTATGCGCCACTGTGCAGTTCAGAATATTTTCAACGGGAGGCTGGCATGTTGTGTTTTCCTCCAAGTTGTTATCTTCACTTTTGCTTTGTGGTTTGCGATCCATGTTCATATCAGAGGTCACGTCAACCTGCCCAGTAGAAGCTGCAAGAGCTGTGATTGATAACCACGCATAACAAGCTACGCTGGTAACACTTGTTGCGACCGGTATTTCTTTCCTGAATACACTGTGCGTTCTTCTGTCGTCACAATTTGAACGTGCTAAGGATTCACCCATTGCTTTACAGTCCTCCTCGGTCTTGTACTTCAAGTAGCTTTGAGGAGCACGAATGAGTGACACCTGTCTTTGCAAGCTTTGCGAGGAAGCCTTTCATTTGTAACAGGACAAATCCTCCTCGGTGTACGTGGACTCAAGATCTCCTGGGCCTGGATAAAATCCCTGGTATGCATGCGTGGGGAAGAAAGCATATCGCACCCAGCGACAGGGAGTACTGGACGTGGCTGGCATACACATCGCTGTACGCCGTGTTATGCGGATCACTCACGTCGAGGTAACTAATGATTATCTCATATACTTTTCATTACTAATGCGCAATCTTGGTAGTTGGTCTAGTTTTTTGACCCCACACCTATGAACCTCCAGTTTCATTTTACGGGCACACAGGCGGATTACTCCGCTGCCGCCGCCCAACTCCAAGCTATCTGGCAAGGGAGTCTTACTCAGTATCCTAGTGAAAGTTCCCCCCTCGTTACCAACATGGATGCAGCAAGAGGTGGTACCTCTTCACTCGGCGGTCACATTTAAACTAAACGACATTTATACCGGCAGTGCAAAACTGGGGCCTTGCGGATGTAACTCTGTATCTTCAAGCCGGAAATGCGGCAGCCACGACTGAACTAGGTTCACCGTACTACATGCCCTTTATGGGTGCACTGTACAATGTTCAACAGGTATGGTAATCGTCATGTATGCCTAAGGTCACCATGTGACATGAGGCTTAGGGGGTATATACACAACTGCCTCGATGATGACGCAACTTGCTGGTCCAAGCATCCCATCCGAGTAACAGGATGGAGTCGAACCTATACGACCGTCCAGCAAGGCCTTAGTGCGGAATCCAATGCCGACAACAGGCATTCATCAATGCAACCGATGTCAACCCATCTGCGGGTTTGTATTGGAGTGAATCACCGGGAAGTTCGATCACTGCGCCAAATCTGACCGTCCCAGCAGACTATAATATACTGAGGGGGTTGCTGATTACAGATTGTTCAAATTATTCGGTAGCGTGAGTGGACTCACTGCAAATGGAATCCGTCACCGACTCTCTATCAGATACTAGTGATATCCTGGCAATGGTTAATCATCCGGTTACCCCCTGGGGCGACGGTGTTTTGGTAGGCTCGGTCTGCCAATACCAGGACTTCGAGAAGGCATCAAACCAGTCTTTCCGTGAGTTGATCGTGGTTCTGGACCCTGTGATAAACAGTCCTGACCCGAAGTTGAGCAGTTTGTTCTTTTGCAAGGGCTTTGCCCCTTCGTACTCCTTCATCACACCACCCATTTGTCAAGTTTCCCCTCGCATAACAACCGTCAATGTCGAATTTGATGGAATTACCGTGAACATCAACGATACCACGAATTCTGAGCCGTTAGACCCAGCAGGGGCATCAAGCTGCTTATATAGACCAGATTTTCAAATCTCATCTGGTATATGATATTTGATACGCAGGGTCTTTCTGGAAATTCCATGGCAGCTGGTATTCAATTTTACGGTTATGCCTATGATGATTCTCTTACAATGAACAGTAGTATGTTAAACTTCGCGTTGGTGAGTGTTTCAGGCATACATCGGTATAAGAACTGTCGTCGCTGACACGAAGTAGGAAAATTACCTGAGAGGGCTTATTGAATTCCTCGCAACGGCAAGTTGCCACTGTTTTCATCTAGCACTTGACTGATGTTCTTGATTTATAGGTTGTGGCAAGTGGAGCTCCAGCCGATGAGCAACACCTCCATGGCCGAGTACACTGGTGTAACTCATGTGGGGTCAATGGATATGAATACAGTGGATCAACCTCTCTTTTCCTCCTCGTGCCTCTGGCCGTCGTGGTGATCATCGCCTGCGCTGCTGCGCTCTACACTCCTGTGGAAGACTCGAAGAAGCCTGGAGATGTGTTTCTCCAAGTTATGAGGACACCGGTATCAACGGACGGCACGCTACGCAGCTTTGGAGGACTTGGAGGACTTTGATCCTACCAATATCATCCACCTCATGACGCTTGCTTCGAGGACTGGGCTGGAAACCGAAGCAGGGAAGAATGAAGTACTTCAAATTCAGATCAATTGAGTTGCATGTTCAGGTACCGAACAGATACGTATGGTGGCAGTCACTTCCTGCAGATGCTGTTCGACCATGTTTATGATCCCAGCCTTCTTTTTACCCGTCAGTTTACTCTTCGTTATGAATCTATCCTTTGCTCGTAGGAGTTTGTAGGGTCCGCGACCCGTGAATCATTTGTATAGTAGTATCCGATTCTATGGTAGTTTTGATTATCCGTGGCCCGATTTCAACAGATTGAATATCATATATCATGTCGACCAAAGGAACTGTCTCTCATCTTAACCACCGCTTTCAATGCCTTCTGCAGGTCTCCCTCCGTCGGAGCCTCCCTCTCCAACCCACTCAGTCATCCACCTCACCAGCCGCCCCATACTCACTCTCCCCTTTATTTCGCCGTTCCGCCCACTCCTCATACAACGAACCACGCAAGGACACCTCGGCCCAGAACACGAACACAATGGGCAATGTCTTCTGCGAGGGCTTTATCTGCAGTGTACGCAACCACGCGAGAGCAAGCGAAATTTCTGGCGTGCACGCGGAGAGCGAGAAGCTGGATGTAGGCTGCGAAGGTCAGATCGGTGGGGCACGATGGATGGATAGGGATAGTATAGCTTCTTTTCGGGAGGAATGGGGCATCCACAGTAATTTATTTTGGTTGTCTATCACGGTCCTTGCGTGCGGAGAACGACATTGTGATGCTTTTGGGCTAGTTCCACGAGCGGGTAAAGAGGGGGCAGCCCCGGCATCCTTTGAAGTGCACGACGGAGGCGGGCGCCTTACTTGTAGGAGCTACTTTCCAATTTCCACACATCACATCGCGGAAAATGCCCCGAGCTACATCACCTGCACGGCGACCCACTCCAGATCAACAGATGGTGGATGCACAGACTGAAGCATTTCCATGCTTGAGTCGATAGGGGCTGCTGGAGTCTACTGTAGGCGCGCGAAACAGGTGCGCGGATGTTCCCCGCACGGACTCATTATCAATTTTGGCCGCGAAGACAGTAGCTTTGAGGAGTATGTGCAATGTGGCTTCGTTTGGAAGTACGGAATAGAGCTGTTCAAGGTTGTCCCACATTGGGTCTGACTAGGGGAGACTACATACAACACGCTATCAAAAGGTGAGACCTTTGCAATGGTCCTTGCACACTGCTGGCCAAGGATGATAGTGTCAGATATGCTGGTGTCGCAGGTCGGGGACCATTAGATTGTGATTGGCGCTTGAGAGAATTGCGGCTAGGTAGCGGGCGGCGGGGGGAACAGTTGCACTAGAGTCGTCGATGATGGGAGGTTGTTCGGAATCGGAAGGTGGAATTCGCACGCTACTTCGCTGTGACCTGCCGCTCTCAGGCTTTTGCCAACTGCTGCGGTATTTTTCTATGACGAGCTCGGGCGAATTTGTATCGATAGCAGTATGTCGATCTGCCTCTTTTTTTTGTTGAGAACTTGCTTGGGACTTGCAGGATGAACATTGAAATGTATGATTGCCGTCTGCGCGGGAAACACGATCCGGGAGGTGTCGGTCAGCAAGGATGCCGAGAGAGCATGTATTTCACTTGTCTCCCCCATTGAGGCTAAAATGATTGCTAGTTCCATTGAGGTGAGCTCAAGTCGTATCGCGTCCACTGCAGCAATTCACCTCTTGAGTTTCGTCAGATCCATCCCCGCGAAATCCATCTCTGTTGCTATCGTGCGCTATCGTACAAAATTAACAGTTCCTCGGAAAGGTGTTTGCACTAGTTATCTGTCAGGTCTTAAACCAGGTCCGCATGGCGTGATAGCGCAGTTCCTGAACATGAAATCACATCTTATCCCGGAGATACCCTTCGCGTTGGTCTCAGAAAGGGCTTAATTTCATTCCCCTCCTATGGATCCAAGCATGCCAATCCTGTACGTTGGTTCAGAAGCAGGCATTGCGCCTATGCGTGCTGTCATACGGTATATACGAGGGACACAACAGTATGTATGGCCGTCCTTGTACATCAGCTGATCTTTGATGACACCAGATAGTACCTTCTACTTTGGTTGCCGTTCTGCACACAAGGATCAGCACTATCACTTGGAATGGGAATCTTGTGCGGAAAAGCAAAATATCCGCTACCGCGTTTGCGTGTTCTCGTGACGGACCAGTACAGGATATTTGGACAATGTTGGGCCAGCAACGAGTAGGGTTCCGCACGGGTAACACCGCGGGTCGGAAAGCTGACACCGTACCCGTACCCGCCAACACCGTACCCGTCACGGGTACGGGTACACACCGACCCGTCAACACCGCGGTTAGATGAAAAACACCGCGGGTACATTACCAAGAAGAGTGTATTAACAACAACTGAATAGATATTACTACTTTTCCTCGTCGTCCTCCTCAGCTTCGACTTCATTTCGCTTCCGTTTTCGACTCTTTACAGAGGCTAGAAGGTCCTCCATCGCCAGAAGATCACTTCTGCCCCAGGCTCCGAGGCAGAGAAAAGCAGGAATTGTTGATGGTGCGAGTCGGTTGCGAGTAAAATGAAGGAGCTGCCGGCCCTGCGAGAAGACACGTTCAACCGCAGTTGATGTTACTGAGCGAGATAATAAGCACTGATTGATTGAAAAAGGATTTGAGGGTGGCATACCTGGGACGGAGAGATAGTCTAATGCCATCCACATCATCATCGGCTTCAGATGCTGACAATGACTCGGAGTTGAATGGCTTCAGCAAAGCTTTTGCAGCAAGCTGGAGAGTATGGTTAAAACATTGAACACAGTTGACAGACTCAAATGAGTTATCGAGGCTCGCGAGCTTTGTTGTTTGAGAATCATTTGCGGTCGCATTATCAGCATTAACTGCAAGAATCTATGATCTTCAAGTTAGCGTGATTTCTGCAATATTCAGAATCAGCTTGCTCTCTTTGTTAGCCCAAAGCATTCAAGCATTGCTTGAAAGAATTTTGCCATCGCAGCACCAGTATGTGACTAAGATATATCATGTAAAGATTGGTGGAGCATTTGATATGGCCTGGTGGCGAAGTGTAAGTGTGAGATCAACAGTGTCTGTGGGTTTCGATCGAGCAGACCGAGACACAAATGACTGTTTGACCTTCTTCAAGGGGCGGGCCAGAGCCTTAGCACCCTTTGCGACAGCCTTTTTGAGTGACTTGGCCTTCTCAGAGATGGACGACGAGATATACTTAGACGATGAGTGGGTAGACGAGGCATCATATGCCTTCTTTGCGAGCTTGGTTTTCATGGAGACGATTTGGTAGACTTACTGGTCTCGAGTTTTTGCCTTGGCTTTATGGTAGTGACTCGAGCTTCTCTGTAGCAAAGTGTCAGCTCGATAAATTGCTAGAATGATTCACAGGGGCACGAAAGACATGACAGAAATCAGTATAGCAAATATTGGGTTGTGATCCTCAAGCACTCAGAGTAAGCCGACACAGAGAATTATAGTACGGTGTTCAGTGGCTGTCAAGGTTCCCGATTTGGTAAGTCATACCCGTTAAACACCGCCAACCCGCGGTAAAGGGTCGCGGTATGGTCACGGGTATGAATATCCAACACCGTACCCGTACCCGCCAAACCCGTCAGCAATGAACCGCGGTGTTACCCGTACCCGTGCGTTTCCCTAGCAACGAGGCATCCTTATCACCTCAGGGTGAGTCTAGACCAAACTTGAATGTGGCGCGTGATGAATCCCAAGTTCCGATGATATTTCTTCGAACAAAATGCCT